GCTATACTTGGTTCGCATCGAGTTCTTTTCTTGGCCACGGCTCTTAACACGCATCGTTAAGCGCCGACTCCACGCCTATTCTTGCCACAGCGGATTGCATAACTTCATACGAACGGCTTGGTCCGAATATTGTATCGCACTCTCGCGTATTATACCCGGTGTTCTCTTCAATATTCGCTTCGGAGTAAGCTTCCTGTTGCAATCCTCTTTAGACTTGTTCTCTTCCCAGTTGGGCACTGGGGGCTCGTGTTAGAATTGACCGGCATTTTGGTCGGGTCTCTCTTGGCAGGTACACTATCGAGTTGGGACCGTTTATGGTATCAGGCATACCACCGGGTATCTTTCGATATTGCGTCAACAACCAGATCGCAGGATTGCGATACGCTACAAACACGCCGTATACGGTGGCCTATCTGTTCGCAGACTACATCACACTTTTTTTTTCCTTTGTCCAGTACCATCATCACGAAATGTTACCTTTGGGTTTCTCTGTTGGCTATCAGAATGTTCACGTATACCCCTGTTTACCCATTTTTAGATGGGCCATTCCTTTCGGCATCTTACTCGGCTTTACATTCGGCATCGCTTGTTAGTTGGCTCCATCGGCAAACTATCGTTCTTTCTATTCTCAGACCTGTACATACTTTTTAGGAGACGGCGATTTTGCATTATGGAGTATCTTCGGTGGCGGAGGAGGGGAACGGGGGAAGCTAGACGGCATGGGTTAGATGGCAAGCGAGCAGGTAGCCTTGCGCTTGCGGCAAGGCCGTTGCATCGGCGTGTTGTTTGTATACAAAAGATCGCCCGTTAGACATGGTGTCGGATGTCCACTGCCCCGTGTTTAGTGCACTTGGCGGGTGATCGCCTACGTCTTTCCCTATCCAGTAGCGAGGCCTACTCCGACCAATATCACCCTGTTTGCATGCACACTATACATCACTCTTGCACCTTGTTCTTTTCTTTTCTCATTATTAGACGCGACTATGTATGCAGGAGTACAAGGGCGGTGAGAGGCGGGCCTTGCAGCGCAGGGTGTTTCACCTTTGGCCTTGCAGTAGTGGCCTGATTGGGATATTTCGAATGTGTTGGTCTTTGCGATGATCGGTCGGAATGTGGAGGCACTCTGGCCACATAAGGTTATGCATACGCGGATGTGCCGATGAAGTTGTGTAACTGTCTGTTTCCTTCTGCTCGCACAGGGCGAGTGGATGTGTTTGCGGAAAGAGAAGCGTCCTTTGCAAACTTTGTTGGCGAATTGGGATATCGGCAGTGGCGGTGTGAGGACTGAGGTTCTGCTGCCAATCGGGTGCCTTTGGTTGAATGTGTAAGTATTGAACATAAGATGCTTTTTTATCATTGACCGGCACTTCAACGCAAGAATTGAGGCCCTACTATAGCTTTGCCGAGACACTCAACTGCTCCATGCTTCAATCATGGTATGCTCTTTACTTAGCAACCTCAATACCTTAGTAAAAGAAAATTGCGCCTTCAACTCATCGTACCTAGGTACGACGTACTACACCATTGCATAAGTTGATCAAACTGTAGTTGAGTGTATGTGAGAGACACAACATCTCTTATGTAATTCGACAGAGAGTCGGATGCGTTATCGTAGTACTGCGGTTGTTGGTGGAGCTGAGCCAACCGATTTCAACTAGGAGATGATTGCTCGCAGTGAGACGGATAGCTCTGATCTGCCAACGACGAAAGACTCGAGATATCACCTTTCCAAGCGATATATTCGTGGAGTAAAGGTGCCGTTTTGCAGCCACGAGAAGGAAATGCTTCTGCGACGGGTTAGCACAAATCAGCCACAGCCTCTGCCCCGCCTCGTGGCGCATGCGAGGACCCCACCTTGATGGTCCGTGGTTCGCCGTCACTGCAGCCTGACGGTTCCGCCCAAGCAAACTCACAACCACTTTGCTGCCTATAACTCTTTGCGCCGTCGCGTCCTCCCACCTACACCTACATCCACATACTAAGCTCACGAGCTCTTCTCCACGCTCTCCATACCGCCGACGCAGCTCCACGAAGCTTGCCACAGCTACACCGAGACAGCCACTGAAGCGCGAATAAGAGGAGAATAGACAAGATGCAGATCAAGTACGTCATGTCAAGTCTGAAATATGGCTAGAAGAAGCAGTAGGATGGCAGATTGCTAACACTGGGACAGAGTACGAACCCTCACTGGCAAGGAGATCGAGCTCGATATCGAGGCAGACTACAAGGTACGCCTATCCGAATGCATCGCCGCATACCTAAACTAGATTGGCTCTAAATGGCCTCAAACATCAAGAGCGATGTCTAGCGAGTATACAGGGCGAGAAGCTGACGGCACACAGGTCTCAAGGATAAAGGAGCGCGTCGAGGAGAAGGAGGGCATCCCGCCAGCGCAACAACGTCTTATCTACGGAGGAAAGCAGATGTATGTCTTTTTTCTCCCTCACACACTTACTACCATATCCACATATTCCCCAGGTTCTTGTTCGCGTACATGACGCACCTTATATCAAGCTAACATGAACCTTTCCAGGAACGACGAAAAGACCGCACAGGACTACCAACTCGAGGGCGGTGCCACACTGCATCTGGTACTTGCTCTTCGTGGTGGATGCTAGCTTCCTCCTTTCCCGAACCCACCCTACCTTCGCTCGCACCTACCGACCCGTACCCTATGACATACCCTGGGGCAGGCGTGCGCTAACTTTCCTGTCGCACGTTTTCGACCATCAGCTCACGGAAGCGCGCGTAGCACCATGCGGGTATCTGGATATCAGAGGGATGACTGAGGAGAACGGATACTTGGTGCCTAGGTGCTGGACTTTGTAGGGAGGTTGCTCGACACGCAGCGATGACACTGGGCATGTGACTTGGGCTAGGATAGCGGAAGACTTGCGTTTGGTAGCAATGCGGAACCCTTTTCTTGCATCATTACGCGTTACATCATGCTTCTTCGAGCATATGTTGTCTCTTCAGCAGGATCGCAGATTGCGCACGCATCTCGGCTAGTCCACTATTATGCCTTGCGCCCGGGATTGTACATGAAGGATTGATACCATGCTTTCGACAGAGAAACCCTTAATGTTCTGATGCTGCTCCAGAACAGTTCTGCTATCTACCCAAAATTACACGACACTTACCCTTACACAGCGTCAATGCAAGGGCCGATTTCACAGACTGTACTATGACTCTGAAATCCGTGGAAGCCGTAGAAGCCGTAGTATGGATTGCGGACAAACGCTCCTGCCCAGGTGTTATCTGTAAGGCGTAACCGGCGTAACTTCATGTAGATTACCCCGCAGGAACACCGCCCGCAACAACTAAGTACAAACGCGCGTTGGTCACAAAAGAGCGCTCCTGGCTCGCGTATTAAGACCGCCTCGTGGCCTAAATCCAGGTACCTACTCAGAAGACGCTATAAAAGCTCATTTACCCTCGCCATCCATAGTTACGGGTTCTTGAAGCTACTCATACTTTACCACAAGTCCCACTTTGCGTGCAATCGTAGGTCAAGAAGCTCACCCACTGTTCTCTCCACAAGAAGAGCGAAGAAAAAGACGGAGCAAGATGGCGCCTCTCGACGATACCACACCAGACAACCGATTTGACAGTTTCAATGTTTTTAAGACATCATACAAGCAGGTCGACTACTATGACATCGAGGTCGGCATCCTGGTGCCAAAAGACATCAAGCCGGGCAAATGTTCAGTCATGGTCAAATTCCACGGCGGTGGTCTGGTATGTTGACTTCTAATCCTTCGTCGTACCTACTTCGCTAGATGTGAGGGATAATTGAGACAAAGGCCTAATATCACATCACAGGTTGCAGGAGACTGCCTCTACGCCGACTGGATAGGCGCCTTCTTCGTCCCCTGGATCCACCGCACCAACGCCATCGTCGTGCTGCCCAACTACCGCCTCATCCCCGAACACAACGGTGCCGACATCCTCGAAGACCTAAGCGACTTCTGGAAGTGGTTCAACGCGGGCGCCGTCGATGAATTCCTCAAATCTCAGCCCACGATCAAGGAAAGCGGCATTAGTCTGGATTACGGCAAGACTCTGGTAACGGGCGACTCAGCAGGCGGCTACATGGCCCTGATGTCCGCGCTCACACAGCCTAAAGACAGCATCAAAGCCGTTTTCGCGCAGTATCCCATGACGAACTATCTGCGTTGCGAAAAGGTCGATGAGTTCTTTGGTCAGCCTTCTCCGCCTGAGTCTCTTATCGCCAAGCATCTCGCGGCCGTCAAGCCAGGTGCTATCGTCACTTCGGGTGTTCAACCGGAGAGGATGGGATTGAGCTATGCTTTAGCCGCCTACGGACACTATCTCACGTACTTCGGTTCTGATGAGAAGATGTGGCCGATTGGGCTGGTGGAGGAGAAGGAGTGGTTGCCGCCGACGTGGATTGTGCATGGTGACGCGGATGGGGCGGTTAGTGTGGAGGATAGCAGGAAGTTTGTGGAGAAGTGCAAGAAATTGGGTGAGGGTGTTGAGGTCAGGCTGGAGGTCAGAGCTGGCCAGGATCATGGCTTTGATATCGCGACGAAGGAGGATGAGGAGGCGTGGCTTAAGGAGGGGTTGGCGTGGGTGGATGGGAAGTGGCTGCGCTCGTGATTTTCGATTGCTCATGGGCTGCCAAGTACGAGTGAATAGTAAATTCATGCCAGTTGTTGGGACACGCTCAGACAGTTGGGGGCGGAGTTTGCGCCGATGGCTTTTGAAGAGATCACGTCAACATAGGAAAAGACTGAACACCCTGCAGCCTACATCCACGTGAAGTCACCTACTTTGCATTAGCTTAAGTCAATGTAGTCTGCAGACCTATGTAAGGTAAGATGTTGGGGTTGTTATATGGGTCTTTATATGCGTGGACTTGAACTTGCCGTGTTTGGACAGCCGGGACGTGTGATAATGTTTTCTTATCTTTGGGACATGGCGACGCAAATAGCGTAGAGTCATATATATGTTATATTCCGCGAACGACGTATTACCACTCATATGATGGTCAGTGTGGTCTTCTTCTCGCGAAGAGGATCCCAGTCGATGAAGAGAGGCCACTCGCCGTTTGAGAGACGGTGCTGAAACCATCCGTGTTCAAACATTCCAATTCGTTTGAAGACCTTCTTTCCAGCCACGCGTTCAAGGATTAGACCCGTCAGCCTTTTGATCTCATGGGTTCCAAAAAGAGGCTTGACTCTATACGTGAGTAGCAATAAGACTGTTCGGTCGGCGGAATATCCGTTTCCGTATGCGCGATCGTCAAGGTGATGGAGATACAATGGCTCGTAGGCATCTCTGGAAAGGTCCAAAGGTTGCTTCAGTCGTCGTATGGGTGCCGTGACGCGAAGCTTGGCGCCCGACAATCTGCCCATTGCATCTGTACCGCTTGGATGCGTGACCACTTCAGCAATGTTCGCTGCCCAGATATCTTCGTCATACCCCCTAGGAATGCCGCCCACGTGAGCGAGTGGGAAACATACTGCGGAGTCCGCGGATGCCCATGACCAAGAAGGGGCTTGGGAAAGAATCAGACATGGGTAAGACCTCCTAACGCTTGGATATACTTACCACGATAGTCCTTTGACCGAGGTTTCTTAGGGGCAGGTCTTTCCTGGTACCACAGAAGACCGTACACAAGGTCTCGTCTCCATGTTCCAGCCACATAGTCATCCTCGGTAATGACTTGCCAGTACTTCGCAAGTCCCATGAGCGCAGGAAAACGATCTTCTTCATATGTGAGCTGGCATTTCGAGTAGTACTCCACAACGCACAGCCATTTCCTGTATACTTCTCGGATCCGAGCGACCTCGGGTGAGCACTGTTGAGGTGCGTAGATACCAAGTTCTTTGTATCTCATATCATCGTAAAGAAGATTTGCGGCACGAAAAGGGAAGCCTTCTTTGCCCCACGGGTTGAATGTACCCGTAATTGGTCCGCCGTGTGGGAATGTCTCGCAAGCGTGAAGTTCAGAGCACTCCCAGTGCAGCTTCTCACCGTAATAGATTGACCGGGGACTCAAGAGGCGCTCCTGGAGTACCCAACCACGCCTCAATAGGACACGAGCCGTCATGATAGAATCTGGTTTCAGATATGAACCGTATGTCCTATTGAACTCTGTCCGCTGCGCCCGTAGCCGACAAAGGGATACCTGTCGGGGATCTCGGTCGAGATACAGACCCACTGATTTTTCGGCGGCCGCGGAAGCTCCTAGATTACAGAATGCGTTGCTGTAAACCTGACCCATCAATGCCGCTTCTTTGTCCCAGTCTTCCGCGTCGTTCTGTATGATGCACAATGCATCAATCCATATATATGGTACTTCCAATGTGCGAGATATCTCTATCGCGTCTGCGAAGACCGGAGGGAGTGTTTTCGCATCGATGCTCGTCATTAGCTCCGCGATGTTAGAGCGGGTTAGCTTTGGCATCTGGTTTGCTGCCCACCGATGACTGAGTGTAACGTATCGAATTGACTCAGCAGAACTCCAGTCCTTAGTTTCGACGAGGAATTGGCTATCGGCATTTCGAATGTCTATCAAACGAGTCGGATTGAAACATGTCGTAGGTTCGCATCCCGGGAGGACAAGACGACGACGACACAACGTGTGGTTCTCCATGCATTCGCGCAGCCAAGCCTGTACTTGCATCCAACATGACGGATCGCGCGTGGTCGTTGCTACTGGCTTTGCGCTGGCGGGTATACGTATCCTGCCGAAGAGATCGTTTGCGTACCTTATCACTGCCTCATAACCGTTCGAGCCTTTGACGAGAGCTCGTAGAAGTATAACGAACGATGCCACACATCGGGTTGACTGATGCGTCCATAGTTCAGCGTCGATTCTCAGCTGGCCGGAGTCTTCCGGGTCCGTTTGATCAAATTCCCGTTCTTCGTTGTCGTATTCCCCGATGTGTAGAGTTGCGGAAATGTAGCCAGTTTTAGCGACGTCCGCTTTGGATCCGTTGCTGAAAGAGTCGAGCCACTTCAAGAGCCAGAAGCAGATAGGACATTCTCTGGCTGTGGTGATCAAGGTGTGGTGGGTGTAATGAGCCGGAGTCTTATTGGAAATGGATTCGCGAGGTCTCACCAGCAGGCCTTGACAGGTTGAGCACGGAGCATATGACGTCATCCTTCCCACCGAGGTACTTCCCTTTCCGACGAGATGTCAAGAAAGAAGATTCATATGTGATGAGTGATGTGAACTGAAGCAGGAGTGCTCTTACGGGACTCGGGTCAAGGTGTCTTGAGTTTGATACGGGCCCCGCAAAATGCAAGTATACTGTGCCGCATCGGATCACTAGCGACAGGCTGTACTATGTAGTGCAGATCATTTGTGCAGCACAAACGGCAAAGATGACTATATCACAGCCCGACAACCAATTTTAGAGGCTGGAATCGTGTGCGAAGAAGGATTAAACATTGTTTATATTGGCCGAAGAACTAAATATCATGTCGCCTATCCACATACAACAGATTCTCTTCCGCTATGCTAACCACCCACTGCATGATAAAAACATAAAGAAGGAAGAGAATCTGGATTAGTGTGTTGATAGGCTACACGTCTTGCAACGTGTGTGCTTACATCCTTGCTCAGAACATTGCGAACCAAGATTCCCCTTTATTAATCCAACTTTGCACGAACAGCACCCATACAAAAGTTTGAGTCCCCTGTTTTCTTGCATTTCCTTGGCTTGATTCGAGTGAACGTCTTCTTCAGGAGGGTTCTGGCTATCCAAAGTCATACGGTTGTCTGCGGAGTGAGAGTAGCTGCAATGCTAGCAACGTGAAGGAGGTGGGCTTAAACGTGGTAGGGGTGAAGGATATTCCCGATTTGTACTAGTGTTTTGACGACCCGTAGGTATATTACGATTGACAGGCTCGGATAGCTGATTAGATAGTATGCTTGGGTTGAGACGGTATGCTTAGGTTGAGATGGTATGCTTGGTTTAAGACGGTATGCTTGATTTGAGATGGTACGGTAGGCAGATAGAGATGGTATATCGAACTCGTGGTACGCGTAGTGGAGTATAAAGACCACCGTTGAGCGCGAGGAAAAGATTCTTATAAGCCTACATCGTCTTCACAGGAGTCAATCTTCAATGAGTCGAAGTATTGACATGACTACAATGTAGGTCACAGTCGTCAATCTTCAGTGAGTCGAGGTACTGTGATGACTACATTGTAATCACAAGAGTCAATCTTCAAGGCGTAAACGTATTGTCGGCATCACAGTCATCTATCACTCACACGTTCTTACTCACAGAATCCATTGAATACCTCCCCGCTTCACCATGCAATCGCGTACATCACTCACTTCTTCTTTGAACCCCTCCCGCCCCTCGCACTCTTCTTCTTCCCCTTCGCGATATCGGCACCGCGGCGACCACCCGCAATCATGACCCGCACCTTACTAACCGGCACAACACCTACGACTTCGGTCTCTTTCCAGCCTCTTATCATCTCGATCTCCTTGGGCCAGATACGCTCGACATCCTGACTGGTCTTATCCAGCGCCTTGGCGTCCTTCCCGGCGTGATCCCAGATAGCAAGGACCTCTTTCACTGCTTTACCGCGTTTGGTAGAGCCCGGTTGGATCTTGGCTTTGTATTTGTAGGTAGAGAGGGCGGACCAGGGTGCGCATACGGGTATGGCGGTGAGGAGCTCGTCGTTGGGTAAGGGGCGGCCTGTGAACGCATCGAGGTTCTGCAGGTTTGTCTTGAGGACTTCGTCGCCTTCGTCGTCGTCTTCGGCGTTCTCTAGGGCGCGTAGGCGGGCTTCTTCGGCTGCTTTGCCTGCGGCTTGGGCACGGAGATGCTGGTCTCGACGCCGTTGCTTGTCAGCTTGTGCCTGCTCTTCCTTCTGACGCTTCTCTTGAGCAGCCGCTTCGGCAGCCTGCTGCCCGGATTTGGAACCCAATAGGCGCATTGCTAGTTCACGGTCTTCTTCGTCTTGTGCGGCGTACTTTGCGGCCTGCTTCTTTGCTTTCGCGCGCTTGCCTCGAGGTAGCGGGGCGTTCTTTGGCTTGGAGCTTTGCGTCGTCACTGTGCCGGGTGCTTTAGGCGGACTCTTTGCGCTACCGTCTTCTGCCGATGAGTTGTCGTCTTCATCAGCATCATCAGCTGCAGGCTTCGCGTCAGATGGAACCTGAGGCAAGTCTTGCAGTTGGCCCTTCCTTGCAAGGCGACGTTCTCTTGCAGACAACTGTCGCTTCCCAGTGGATTTTGGCGCCCGCTCAGTATCTGCTACAGAGCCCGCGTCTTCTTGAGGCTCTTCGCTCAGAGCGGAGCCATTTTTACCACCAGACATGGCATACTCGTCATTATCCTTAGCAGCTACCGGCTCATCTTCATCGTCGGAGTCGTCCTTAGCCTCTGCTGTTCTGGACTGGAGAGGATTGCTCCTTGGTGCCGCAGCCTCAGACTCGGCGTCACTCTCTTCAGTCTGCTCCATCTTGGCATCGGGGAAGTCGTCTTCTGAATCTGAATCGATCCTGGCGTCTGGGAAGTCCTCATCGTCATCGCTGTTGTCGGTCTTTGACGCTTCTGCTGTCTTCGATTCGTCTGCGGGCTCATTGTCCATCTCCGCGGCAGATACCGCAGTGTCTTGCAAACGATGTTTGTGGTGATTGGCCTTACTTGAATCGCTGATCTCAAACATAACAGCAAGACCAACGACCAGCTGAGCAGGTGGCAGAAATTCCTTCTTGCCCTTGACGTTGAACATGCCAGCTGGAAGAAACTCCCCGGTCTGGCCCGTTTTGCTGACTTGATCGCTGCGAACCCACCAAGCTGACATTACTGCCTTTGAGTCCCATGCCTCAGATGAACAGATACAGAGGTTGCCTGCTTGCGAGAGTGTCGATGGAGGAATGGGAGCGTCAGGCGTATCGGGCTTGTTTTTGATGATCATCGGCATTGCTCCCTTGATGTCGGCATGAACGTATACATCTCCCTTCCGTAGAAAGCGTCGGTAGATAATCTCGTTCTGCTGAGCATCTTTACCTCCAAGGACTAGATAACCATCAGAGGAAATGAAGTATATGAACTTCTCAAACCACTGCTGCTTGCGCACTGGTCGCAACACCTCCTTCTCTTGCTTCAACCCCTTCTTCAGGTCCTCGTTCACCTTCTTTTCGTGGCTCTTCAAAGCCTTGGTGGATGCTTGCAATGTGCGGTCTTCTTTGTCAGCGGCTGTCTTCTTTTGGTCAAAGTACTCGGTTGAGTTCGCCCAAGCGGTCAAAGCGAGGTCGATGTCGATAGCCAATTGTGGCCGAGCGGATACGGCTGGGGTTGGGGCCTTCTTCTTAGGGGCCTCGTCTTCATTGTCTGTGTCTTCGCTGACAGAACTTGTCTCATTGCCCTCATCTTCTTCGTCCCCTCCCTCTTCCCAGTTGGTCTCATCCAGCAGTAGCGTGACCGTATTCTCATGCAGCTTTAGTGGTAGCTTGATGAGCTGTGCGACTGCGTTTCCAGAGTTCTGTTCACGCTCGATCAAACGCGCGATATCAACCCAGTCCATGCCTTGTCTGATCAATCCATTGACGGCTTCGGTAGCTTCTGTGACACGATGCACATTTGCCAATATCGCTTCTGCTTTGCGGAAGTTGAGATTTTGCACTTGCTGCAATCCACCGATTCGGTCTTCATGCTCTTTGCGCGCCTTTTCCAGCTTCTTCTTGGCCTGTTGTTCGCGCTCGGTCAACTTTGATTCCAGCTTCTGTCCTTCTATCGAGGAAAAGAACTCATCCACCGCTTTGTTGAATCCGTCAAATTCTAGGAAGGTATAGTCCGAGTTCTCGAATTGAGCTGGACGGAAAGGGTGGAAGTCGTCATAGAGGACTCTCAATTTCTCGGAGGCTTCGTCATCGGCCGGAGGTGCGGAGGGGTTTGGCTTGGCGAGGATGAAGCCCTTGATTTGGTCTGGTGTCGTGATCTCGTCCGTGATCTTTCTTGCGTTCTGGAGCACCACGACAAGCTTTTCCAGGAGAGCGTCGTCAGCGAGTACCTCCTCCGGTTTGAGGGTCGAATCGAAGTTCGCGATGTGCAGCGCATGGTCTACTAGCAGAGGGGGGCACTCCGTGATTGAAACGGCAAGTGCCTTCCTCAACGAATCCTTTCCTGCCTTCTTCGCTTTCTTCCCTGTCGCCGCAGGCTGATCTTGTTGTTTGTCAACCGCCTTCTGCAGCCCTTGACGCACTCGATCCTTGGTAAGCTCTGGGGCGCCACCATAGTTCTGTCGCAGGGTGAGGTTGTATTTCAGACCGACCCTGAGCCTTTCGTGTTCCTCGCCTTCGTCTACATTGCGGAGTAGAGACAAGACATTCAGATCCGCGTCTGTCAAAACAATGTTGCCGCCAGCGTAGAACTCCAAGTACAGTCTGTATAATCCATCGGAGAATTGGAACTCGAGGATGCGGTCAGTGCCGATCTGGGTGATGGATGTAATTCGCCTAGTCTTCAGGTATTTGCGCAGCTTTGCGACAAAGGCAGAAGGCGCAGCGGCTGTGGTTCGCGCATATTCGGTAAGGTGGCAGCGGAAGCCGGAATCGATGAGGAGCTGTTCGCGGTGGTCGGGCTTGTGAAACTTGATGAGGAAGATGCGCTGCTTGGAATCAGCAGATGACTCCAGGGGGTGTTGTGTCAGGCATTTCAAGCATACCGAGCTCAAGTCATAGACATTCGTGACTCGCAGTGAGGTGAGTTTTGCGGAGAGCTCGTGGGCTATGACCTATTCACTGTTAGCTGGATGTTTGCATTGGGAAATTGTGAAGTGCTCACCTTGACGTCTAAGCTGGAAAACCTCTGCTTCATGGTTGTGTTGTGTGAAGAGTCTGTGGCTAGTGGGGTCGGTGATTGAGGGTGGGCTGCGGCGATGACGAAGGTGTGCGAGTAGCGCGATTGCAAGGGTCATGGGAAAATGGAAATGGTTCCTGGCCCCAACGCTTACAAACAACCCTCTTCACTTTTGCATAGTAGAACTCACACCCTGTCCGAGACGTCAGTAGAAGCTGGATGTATTCATCGGGTCTTTATCTGTGCGGTGCGCTACCTACTCTACATGCGCCACGGTCCGGCCATACCAGTCACAATGCCACACGCATTTTATCCCAAACTCCGACAACGCCATGCCCAGCAAACAGAATGTGCCTAAAGGCCTTGCCGTATCCTCTCAGCCAGCTGTCGCTTACCAAACTCCCAAGCGTTCAAGAAACCCTGTTCCGAGAGGTCGATGTTCTTCATCGAGGTCATGTCTTGCGCCGGGGGCTTGCTGACACGCGAGGCAACAATGACGGGGTCAGTTTCGAGGATGATGCCGTCGTCCACTAGCTCGTCTACGGCGAGGGACTATGAAGGTTAGTTGAAGCAAAATATGGGAGTCGTGGCTTCTGTTACGTACCACGAGGTCATAGTTCTCGATCACGGTGCGCTTGTCGACCGAGTTCCTGCAACGTGTTAGGTGAGTCCATCAGACAGTTCAAGTTAGACCTACTTCAGGAGGATGTTGAGAGAGTCTCTTAACGCAAGAACGACGCTGGACATGTTAGCTCCAGCCCAGCACTCCACCATGCCACGACCGTACCTGTATAGCAAGACTTCGTTCTCGTCCGCGCTTCCAACCACGTAGAGCATGACGTCCGACTCCATCTTGAAGACAATGACCTTTCCGTCATATAATATGATGTCCGTCGTCTGCTTGGCCGTCTTCTCTGTGCAACAAGTCAGACAAACAGGCCGGTAGCTTTGTGTCCACGTGATCTACCCACCCAGCAGTCCCTTCTCAAAGGCCTTCTGGTCCTTCACCGTCTTGTACGCGATCTGGCCGGGGTAGTCATTCTGGTGGCCGGCTGGCGGGTGCGGGTTCGAGTAGTACTTGGTGAGGATGCGGGAGCCGTCGTCGATGGCGAGGACCAGGATCGCCTGGACGCTGAAGAGAGAAAGCGGGCGCGACATGGCGGAGGAAGTATGGACTGGATCGAGTAGGCGTCAATGGGTCGGCGCTGTTGTGGACGCGGTGGGGGGTTTTGGGAGACAGCACAGGTGTCTGCTTGCGGAGAAGCGGCCAATCACGGAGGTCGTGGGCCTGGGCCTAGCGCGTCGTCTGAACTTTTGAGAGGGTGCGACCGACGACCACAGCGGGCGCATCCCAAACATTGAAGACGCCATACCGCAACATGCACAGAATATCGCGCACTTCGCTCGCGTCTCTCGTGTGTCCATCAGCGCCATTCCTTGCGCCTCGTCTTCTCCGCACTGCTGTACCCGCTGCAGCGGCATCAGTACAGTGCCCGCCATGCCCACGCTTCCAGAGGGCGACGTATGCGACGGCGAAGACAACGAAGACGGCAAAGAAGAAGAAAAGCCTGATTAGGAAAATTGATCACAAACAAGGGAAGTTGGGGACCAGACCCCCCGCTCTATCAGAGGAAGAACAAGAGGTAAGACTCGTCACAACCTCCGGAGGCTGCGCTCACAACACCAGCAACTCCGCCTAGTCAGGAAATTCCGACAAGCCTGCGACCTCCGAGATGTTCAGCATGTCATGGACTGCTACCCCACACTGCTCGCAGCAGGCCTCTTCACTGCCTACGATACCCGGCGCATCACCCAAGTCCTGCACGTTCGCCTGCGAAACGAAAACACTCCAGCCAAGCGAGACGAAATCTTCCCATTCGTCCAACAGGTAGTGAGCGATCTACGCAGAGGAAAGCTCGAGCCCCATCCCTACGCCTACGTCCACCTGTTCGGCATCTACAAGGACTGCAAGCGCTTCGGTGAGGGGTATGCCCTCTGGCAATGGCTGGTCGAACAGGACGAGCAGCACGTGTCGCAGGCTGCTTATGGTGCAGCCATTGAGCTCATGGCGTATGGACGACTTATGAGCCTGCCAGACATGGAGAATCTCTACTCCGAAGGACTGAAGCGCTTCCCTGGCACCTTCGCCGAGTACCACCTCTCTCCCGACGCCATCGTCCCCGACCGAACCCGACTCACTACAATCTCCGGCATTCCTACCATTCTCCTGCAAGGTATACTCACGGCACGTATGCTGGCGCGTGATTGGAAGAATGCCTATCTGGCCCTGGACACTGCACTGCGCATATACCCCACACAGACCCCGCCACGCTACTTTGAACTCTTCATGACGGAGAGGCCTATATCTGAGGGCTATACAGCCTTCATGATAGCTTGCAGAGCTGGCATCGCCATGAGGCCGACACATGTTACCGCCCTCATCACAAAGCTGCGAGCTGCGATGAAAGCCTCACAATCTATGGCCGATCGACTCATGCTACTTCGCGCCATCGCAAATGCGATATATGGGCATCTAGAAGCCGGAGGAAATATTGAAAGTATCCACGTGGGTTCTCTTTTCCGCGCCTTCGAACAAATCTTGCCAGAACCCATCCCGGGTGAAGACTACACTGGAGAAGCTGCGAAGATGCGTGACACCCTTGTTGACACAGCGCATCAGATGCTGTCTGAGCTGATACAAGCTGGCATGCCACCTAGCCTTCAGCCATTCGAGGCTCTAATCTCCATCTCGGGCAAACTGCGTGTCCCAAGTCTACTGGAAACTACTCTTCAAGACATGGCAGCGGCTGGTCTCAGATTTGGGCTGATTGGAAAAAGAACAGCCTTGACGACGGCTGGCTTGCTCAAAGACAAGAATATGGTCAAGGAGTACTGGTCGAACATTGTGTTGACAGCCGAAGCGGACAGTGCACAGATCTCGTTTGAGGACTGGATTACCTTCACCAAAGCTTGCAGAAGAGCTGGCCTCGGCGACTTCTTCCGAAGCCAGATCTTGAAGTTGCCATATGCCATTAGCGACAGCACCGAGCGCTATCTCATCCAGCAGATCGAGATGCCCGAGACCCCATCAGCACTCCACGAGGTATACCAATACATGAGCATGAAAGATCTAACTGCAGAGCTGGACGCACTGAGGGCTCAGATGAAGAATATCGAAGCTGTCGTCATGTCCGGCCAACCACTCGATCTCCGCAACTCCCCATTGTACATGCATTTGGATCCCGAACATCCTTCTATAAGCAATACGGGGGATCTGCGGGCAGTATACGACGAGTTCACCCTTGACCCGCATCAGCCACCTCTACCACCACCCGCACCCGATTCACCAGAGCAGCTCCCAATAAGCACCACCGGCATACCTCTAGATGAACTCCGATTCCAGAACTGGGTCAGCATCCACGAGATGATGGACTCAGCCTCAGACTACGAATCCGACCTTAAATACGCCGTCGACTCCGCCATCAAAGCTGGAACCCCATTGCAAGGTACCCCGGAACTCCTCCGTCTACGCAAAGACCCCGGTCCAAAGCGCTCCCAAGCTGGGCTGAGTCTGAAAATCAAAGAGCTGAGAGCGAGCCGCCCGGAAGATGTGAGCATCTTTAGGAGAGTCGGATCAGAGACTCCCGAAGGTGTTACTATTTCTAAGCACTTTGCCAAGAACGAGGAGCCGATTGTAGCGGGTGAGAAGGGGGCGCCGAGGATTAGGAAGTATGCTGGGCTTCAGTCGCATCACGATGCTCCTTCCAATTTTCTACGGAGGGCGAAACGCAAGGACGACAATAGCATCGAGGCAGTAGAGGATGCACTTACGACTGAGATGGCACAGGCTTCGCCGCGAGACAATTGAGGTCGGACTATGGAAGGCGAGTAGTTACCTGGAGCTCCGAATATGGACTTCGCGTTCATCTATGTATAAAATACGATGTACAGATACCGAGCAAGACTGCTGCAGCCTTTGAAGTTTCTAAGACAAGAGGATTAGTCCCTTCGCTCTTACACCAATCCACGATATAGCATTCCAACACGCCGAGTAAAGCGCCGAATGACTTCACACCCACACTACCCTTCGTTTCACCATGCCATTTATCTCCCATCCCACGGATGATTCAGCCGCTTATAGGTATCCATACACACTTAATCACCAACGTCCACAAAACCCTGTCATCTTACATATCCCACATCCTTCATCCAACACCCAACGCCCACGGCTCTCATCTCAGGTAAGCTCATCCCAATCTCACCTCACTCACGTTTCCCGAAGAACGTTCGCCTCGGGCCAGGCACGGGATATGGCCCGAGTAGAACACCAACCGACCGTGCGATGGGTAGTAAGCAGTTTGCCTCAAGTACAAGTACCGCCACGGCTGACTGGGCTGCCATGTGAGTCATGGGTGCTGACGAGACGGTGTTGAATGGGTGATGACGTTGGAGTGGGATGAAGGATTCGAGAATGGGTTTAGGTTAGATTTGGTGTAAGATTCAGGGAAGATAGTGTAGTGCGTGTCGGGGTAGTTGGTGTATATAGTGTGGAGGTAGTCCGCGTAGTGTGGGGGTAGTGCGAGGTTATGATGTGGGGTAGCATAGTATTATGATGTCGATTGTAAGGTGACATGGCCAGAATGATGTCGTAGCGTAGCGTGTCGGATGCAAGCTGAGTTTGAGTATGGAATTCAGGGTTGAATGCTTGTTCTGAAGAGACGTGCTCGACTGTTTCGGGAGTGGGGACTAATGAAGTTTGTTGGAGAGACTGGGGGGTCGTGGTATGGGAGTGGGAAGGGGTTGATGACGTTGTCTGGGGAATAGGTTGTGTTGTGAGTGAGCTTGATAGTTTGTGGTGACGCAGTCCGAAGGGTATATCGTTTTACGTGAAATTGAAAGTGTCCAATAATTTCATTTGAGGGATAGGAACGTGTCGAAAATGGATGTGAAGTGGGTATATAGTTGATTGATGCATATCTCGTTACCGAATAATAAAAGCCAGCCAGCCTTGCGGCTTT